GCATCCACGTCTGAGTCAGGAAAAGGGTACGTCTTTTGCTCCAACTCTCTCAAGGTGTTTTTATACTTGTCTTGGGTGCGAGGAGGCTCACTTCTCTTTGTCTCCTTGGTCTTGGAGGAAATCTTAATAGGCGCAGAGGTGGTCTTGATAGGCGCGGATGGGGTTTTGATGGGGGTAGTGTTGACAGTAAAAGTTTCCTTGGCAGGCTTTTTTCCAGTCTTGTCCACACTCGGGGCGAACACCTTATCCTTCTTGAAGTGGGTGATCGGCTCATTCTTTCCGTGATTGGCGATACTCAGCTCCATGTCATGGGAACGCGTTGCCAGCTCCTCAAACGTTCTTGGTTTTATGCCTTGGAGAATGTAATGTAACCCCCAGTGCATGCCTTGAACACACATCTCAATGGCAGAGGTTTCAGAAAGCCGATCTTTGCAATCCAGACTTAATGAACGCCATCTATTGATGTAGTCGACGACGGGTTCCTCATTCCACTGTTTCGTACTGGTCAGCTCCAGCATGCTTACAGTGCGGCGCGTGCTGTAGAAGCGGTTGAGGAATTCCTTTTCTAGCTGATCCCAACTGTTGATAGACTCGGGCTCGAGGTCGGTGTACTAGTCAAAGGCGTTACTTTTCAGCGAGCGCACGAACTGCTTGACGAGGTAGTCTCCTTCTGTTCCAGCATTGTTACAGGTTTCAATGAAGTGGGCGACATGTTGCTTCGGGTTCCCCTTTCCATCGAACTGCATAAACTTTGGTGGTTGATAACCCCTCGGCATCTTCAAAGCGTCAATCTTCTTGGAGTAGGGCTTTGAGTATAGTACGGAATCATGTGAGCTTCCTTCATAATGCGCCTTGATGGTGTTGGCGATCATCTCCTGCAGCTGCTGGATAGAGAGAGACCCCATGAGTGTCGCCGTTTGGTCTGGCTTCAGCGTCTCTTCGACGTTCTCCACTGGAGGTTCCTCATCCTCGTCGTTTTCCCTCTTTACTGGATTATCCCCTTGCCTGACTTTCTCATCGGGCTTTGCATCTAGTTGGTTAACGAGTGCTGCGATTTGCAGGTCTTTGTCCTCCACAGCCCTTGTGAGTTTTGCGATTGTTTCACTCATCTGAGCCAGCTGCTCCTCAATTGAAGTCGCTCCAGCAACCATGACTTGCATAGCTATGCCGCTGCTTGAGTCAGCATCAGAAAGTAAGGATTCAGAGTACTTCCTCTGGCTTTCCTCTCTTGGGGCCTTGAGCGAGGCCAGGGTGATCACCGATTTGTGCCTCGAGTGCTCTTGTGCCTTCGGCGGAGTTGATGCAGGGGCGGAAGAGGCGGCAGAAAGAGCTTTTGCCTTGCTTCGAGTTATGATGCCTGAAGTGACGCCCCCTGTCGTGATGGCGCTCTTGTTTCTTGCATTGGCAGCGAGAACAACTTGGGCCTTCCTTGACGCCATTTGTGCTTGTTGCGGATTCAAAGATAGAGATGAGAGGTAGAGACTGTCCCACTGGGCGTGCCAAATTTGTAAACACGGAATTCCTGCAATGAATGAGACAAGAACACTTGTACAAAATAATATTTGTATTAATGATTTAGGGGTTACAATCTCTTCTACGAATTTGGCCTCTGATTCTATCTTTGAAACGTGTAGATGTAGTGTTGTTGATCCAGGGGCCGTCGAGGCTTGATCTTGGAACAGTTGATGAATGATGAACACCTTCTTCAAGGGCCGTCGGGGCTTGATCTTGAATGGGTGGAAGTTCTTCAAGGGGCGTTGGGGCTTGATCTTGAAGGAGGATTTCACGAAGAACGAAGAGGGCTTTCTTGATCCTTCGGGATTTGCTTGAGAGCTTCTAAGTTTCGAGGCTTCAAGGCTTTGGTGTGGTGTGACTTCTCTTCCAATTTGGGAGTAGAGAAAGTGTATGTAAAAAATCCTCTCTTGATTCTTTGATGGAGGAGCCTATTTATAGGCTTTGGGAATGAACCACCACCATCCATTTGTTTTGGTGGATGTTGTAGGTGAATTGGTGGATTGTTGTAGGTGAATTTGGGTGGAGGTTGTAGGTGAATTTGGATGGATTGTTGTAGGTGAATTTGGGTGTATGTTGTAGGTGAATTTGGGTGAAGGTTGTAGTTTTAATGCAATGGTCAACATTTATTTCACTAAAATTTCAATGTTTACAAATGTAATTTTAATGTGATGGCTAACATTTATTTCAACGAAATTTCAATGTCTACATCGACGATATAACATTTAAAGACTCCAAAACAAAACTGTCAAACATTCTAATGTTTTAGCATATTCAATCATATGTATTAAACATTGGCCCGTTTTATTAATTATATTTTTCTCTCAAGTGAGGCAGATATATATATATATATATATATATATATTATATGACCCTTTATAACCAAATATGTCTCGGGATACTAAACTTAGCTGGAAACTTTTATTTTTTTTTTTAGTTTTACATATATTAAAATAAATGGTTAAATGGGTACTTGTTTATAACCTCGGGTAATGCCCATAAACCGCCCATTTAAATTTCACGGGTAAACGGTTATACCCATAACCGTTTATTTATCTAAACGGTTACCTATAACCATAACCGTCAAATTTAAATAGGCGGATAATCACGGTTATCCATAACCAATGGGTATTTGCCTATCCCTAGATCCCGCACGTCATTTTTAGCACTTTTTTATTTTTATTATATTAAATCCCTTCTCAAGCATTTTCAAGTTTCAACCCCCTTTTTTTTAGCAAGCAAAAGGAAGTTAGGTGCTTTACATTAGTATTTGATAGTGTAATGATTAGTATAATGGTTTCTCGTATAGTAGAAACTTCTTCCGAGAATTTTTATGCGCAAGCAAGGTAAGGGCAAGACGGTTACGACTCTACAACTTATTAGTGAGTGAATTTTTTTTCTTTCAAGTATATTATATTATAATTTTCATAATTGCTTTTGAATGTTTGTGTGACATGCCATGTCTTGACTTAGAAAATATAAATGTTTAAACTATATTATTTTATTAGTATCTTGTGGGTACAAACTTTGGCATACTTACTTGTGCTTTATCTACTCACTATAAATGTCTACACGGTGTTTTGTTTATTCGTATTGTTTGGATCAAAATCAGCTTCACGTGTATGTTTACATACGCCTTTATATTCGCTTTGAATCCAAAGTAGGTGCTAGCTTATTCCTAGATTGCACTAGCCAACTAGGACAACACGAATATGCGTGCTTAATGCCAGCTTCACGTGATTGTAGTATTGGAATGTAACTTATATACCCAACACGTTCATGTAGCTACTTTCTATATCACTTGTGTGCTTAATGATTTTAATGAGCATTGCAGATATTGTTGTTGTTAATATATATATATATATATATATATATATATATATATATATATATATATATATATGTGTTGTACTAGTATCCTTAGAGATTATTACAGTTATTTTGTGTACTTTGCTTCTTATTTATTTTTGAGCCCATTCACGTTTTATTTTTTGTGCCCCTCTAGGACCTAGAGGCTGAACTCTTGTGGCGAAAAGAATAACTGCATTTAGCCGACCAGCACTTCCAATAATGTAGAAAGTTAATTTTTTGTTTGTATAATTATTCGTCCTTTTAGGATGAGAATATTCTTTACTTTATGATGCACTCATACTTATGCTCTTAACACTTTGCTTTGTAACAAGTGTTCTAACTAACAAACTGCACTCTTGTTCATTTTACTCTAGTTTTAATTTACTCGTATTTCTTTTCACATCACTCGCACTTTATGGTTTCGCTTCCTTTCAAGTGTCGGCCATCATACCTTGATTCGGGTGTCATGCACTCTTTTATTTGATTTTGTTTCTTAATTCTCCTTTTGTTTTATCACACAAATCATGCTCGAGTTTATGCACAAGTATTGAACCATGCATTTAAGATTAATGCAAATGAAATGTTCCAATGAAACTCGGCATTCATATTGAAAGTATGAAATACTACCCTGTACCAAGTGTAATTTTCGTGCACCATATATGTAGTGGACTGAGTACATTAAAGCATCAACTGACTCCATTGAAATATCAAGAACAAAATTTACAACATTTGACATTTTAGAAAAAACAACTGCTCTGGAAAATGAAAATGAGATTTTGGAGGAAACTTAATGGTAAGAACAATATTGAATTACCAGCTGTAGTGAAAAAAGGTATACCATCAGTTATCTATTAGAGAGTATCATGAAATAAGTTTCACAAAAGTTTACGGTATGCATTAGTTTGTCAAGAAAACTAGAGCCGCTTATTGAATGTTATGAGAATTTGTGAGATCTTAAATCTCCAAGTACATCATAATCTCTGTACGATTAGCTCATTAAATTTTCGACCAAAAAAAATCTTATTAAATTTGATCTCTCTCATAATTCAACCTCAAAACATTATGCAATTCCCTTTGTAAGTCTGCAAGAATTAGCATTATGACCGCATCCCACATAGTTGTATATGTATATAGTAAACTCTTAAAACCGAGTAATTGGTTTACTTCATGGTGAGAAAATATGAACATGTATAGACGATTATAACGTATTAAAAAAATAAAAAAGAATCGATTGTATGCTGGGATACCCATAGATAAGGCCAATGTCTTTTTGTAATATCAACTGCACCAACCCAGCAACTGTTGTCTGGCCTTTCTCTTTTTCATGAATTCTTGCTTCAAACTACCCAAATATCCACCATACTTCACAAGAGCTGATCTAATTTAGTTTGTTGTTCTTACTACTCTCCCCTTCTCCTTCTCTATTTGTATGACTCCCTATTCTATTCTCTTCATCCTCTCTGCGATCATGACGTTTCAAAAGTGCAGCCATCCTCTTCATGCTCTCTAATCGTGGCACTGCTATAAGGGAAGCTAAGGGAAGCTTACCTAACGAGATATTTCAAGTTTACCACACATTTCAATCTAAATATAAGTATTCATGAACTGAAATTTGGATAATTGTCGCACAAAAACTGAAAAAACCAATATCAGCAAGGCACAGTGCATTTTATTGTGTGGCAGGTGCAGAAAGCTCTTAACAAATGTCACCTAGCTTTTGGCAACAGTTTTACAACAGCTCATGCACAAAAAAATTATGAGAAATGAAACTATGATTTAGTGATGAACAAAAACTTCATTTTATGAGCTACAGTTTTGCTGTATTCTGAAATAAGCCAAAATTTCTTATTCATTCATTGTTTTATTTCTTATTCATTCATTGTTTTAAAATAGGGCATTCCCTTGGAGTTCAACTCTCAATGTAGAAACTCATCTATTGGAGGAAAACTTGGATATTACAGAAACGCACAGACCAACGCTTGTTTTTTAAGCCAACACCATCTACAGGGGACCTGGAAAAGTTCCATTCTCCCTTTGTTCGTTCCATCTCTCAACCTGATACATACAAACAGTACAACAAGAACACTGTTAACTTTAGCTCTGCTAAGGAATACAAGACTTACGAGAGAGAAGTAGCCAACTAGAAAACCTGAACTGAATGAAATACAATAACAATTCCTTATAGCATGTAAACAAATAAGCAAAAGGAAACTCAACAGCAGCACAAACAGATGCAGGTGTGGGTACACCAGTAACTAAGTCACACATTGGTAAATGTCTTGAGCTATAAGTGTATGTTCACAGGTTCTATTCTATACTCAAGATCGAGTACTTCATCCAAACAAGGAACTTTATCCATTTTGACAAATATTGAAAATATCATAAATGTTCTCTTGGTCACCAGAACGGGACGCTTGAAAGTATAATCGTCAATCCTTAAAATGAGGAATAATTAAAGTTCCAATGTTGAGTGAGACTGGCTGCCCACGTGCCTGAAGTGCAGGCAAACAAAATCACACCCACTTAAAAAAAACATTCACAAGCACTCGCCACAGATTGTGGTATATTCTCTCTCCTCCCAGCAGCAAAAACTTAAATAAAAAAAGAGCAGAAACTGTAAAAACAGCAATGGTCCACGCACTGAAAACATCTCAACAGAAATTCTAATAAGATTTTGATTCGTATCTTGTGTAAACTAGAGTAGAAACAATTGATATCAACTATAAGCATAATAGAACTGCTTAATAACTTGTTATACGACACATACTTTTCTGATCTCACAACAGTATTTGAAGCACTAACCTCTCCCAAATATAGACAAAACAGCAAGGCGAGTCAAACAACAAAAATGAAAAAAGCAAGGCAATCCAATTGAGAAAACTATTTATCCATTAGGTTCAGTTTCTAGAATAAAACGCATTACAAAAATACGAACACTATTTTGGTATCAATGAATGGCTAAAGAGTTGATCTGAAATTTAAAGTACAGAGATCAACTTGAGCAAAACATTAAGCCCAACAAATTGTGGGGCTCCTTTATTTCACACATGGTGTCAAATGATTGTGGCCTTTTCAACTAAATATCTGTTTTCCCTCCTTCCAGATTTGTCACCACTTAGAACACTATAAGATCGACAATTAGAATGCAAACTTCTCCAATAGCAAAGGCAATTTAACTAAACTAAAGTAAGAACCGAATATGATTCATCATGTAGGGGATGCAGAGGGCCATACCTTCAATAATAATAGCAAACATTACAATTTTAGGACCTGAAAGAGCATTGAAATTACATACCCATTCACCAGGGCAAAGAGAGCGGTAAAACTTTGCAAATTTGTCACACTCGGGAGCACCTTCCCCCTTTGCAGCTATGCACCTTAAAATAATTGGACCAGGGAAACCTTTGTCAAAACCTCAGCACCAAGCTAGAATGTACGTGATAAATGGTGTTCAAATAACAGGAAGGAGTGGTGTGCACGTGTGTATGGGGGTGGGGGGCACTCATTGTATACATACCGATGATACTCTATATATCGGGTAAAGCAATGCCTTGTCTGGTTAGTAGTTGGGAAACGGAAATCTGCTGGTGCTGTCTCAATCTGGACATGAAAATAGAATGTCAGTGAACGAATCAAACATATAAAGATAAAAGATAAGATGAGGTATGCACTACGGTAGGGAAACAAAAGAAAATTACTGATAACTTTATAGGTGATTAACCTTAATTTCAGGTGTCTCTTCAACTACTTCAGTGCCTTCTTCACTAGCAGAAGGACTGGCTTCACTGCTTTCTTCAACAGCTGGTGTAACTTCAGAGCTTTCTTCTTCTGCAGCAGCAGGTGTTTCCTCAGGTTTCTCAGAAACAACTTCTTTTACTTCAACAGGCTTGGTACCCACATCTTTCTCCAATGCGTATTGCTGTATGTCAAAGTATGAGAGGGAAACACTTAGCCATTACTAATCTTATGCCATTAAAAGAAAGGACTAACAAAGGAGAGCATATAACAAAGCATGTTAAAGTAAAGTCAGTAAGTGGAAGGCTGGAAGATTTTTATGATTCTCCAGAAAACAGCCACTTGGCACAGCTAGCAGGCCCTGCGCTAGTTCTTAGCGTAATACAACTAGACTGATGAGTGATTATAAGATTAATACAACTAGATTGGTTACATGTCTGGGGAAGGAGACGGGGAAAGGGGATAACTTTCAGCACTAGTTTGGTTAGGAACAAGCACATAAATGATCCAACTGCACCACAACAGCTCATGCCTACTTTGTGGAAGAATGTTTAGTACAAACGAAGTGGGCACTACCATCCACTACGATTTCACAAGCATTTGAGTCCTAGATGATCCCAATACGTCTCGCAATCACAGTGGAAAATTTTCTTAGTGCTAATATAGTACCAGAAATATTACCCTACTTTGTGCTTTCCCAAACTCAGGGTTGCTTTAATGTGGCAGGACTAACTCGACATTATAACATGATGTAGTCATGGCAGGACTAACTCGACATTATAACATGATGTAGTCATACTTGTTATAGTGCCAAAGACATGCTCTAATTGTTTTCTCCACACATGTCAAGTTTCGAAAGAATCTTCTACGAGCGTGTTTCTTTCAATACTCCGTCCAGGATACTGAGTCCTGACACAAACTGTTTACTTGTTTTAGAGCCTAATACTGCAGTGTGGCTTATTTCTTACCTAATTGACTGTCTGGCCTAAAAATGCTCCTCTAGAGGATCCAGGAATTGTATTGCTTACCAAAGCAATAAACTTTGCACAACTTAAAAAGAATTCAAAACAAATTGAAAGGCATACCAAACAGAGTAAATCAAAACCTAAAACTTGTCTATAACAATATTTAGTTGCATTAAAAGCACAAATTAAGCACACATCACGCGAATGTTGATCAAAATTTTCACGTAATTCTGAAGGTTTAATATAATCTACACAAGAAATGATACCTACAAGCAACAAAAGATGACATTTTTTTTCCAGCTTCAATGGTAAAAAAAAAAAAAAAAAAAAAAAAGCACTTAATTTAACTTTTTTCTACAGAAAATTAAGCTCTACATTTACACAACAAATTAAAGAAGCTATTAACGGAAAGATTGGTTCCTTGATTGTAGGAATATGTTCTGCTTTATATTAGGATCATATCATGGAGATTACGTAGATTGATTTCATGTATAAATTACCTAGTATAGATAGAAAGTCAACTGTTGTAATCCTATATATTAGGCACCTTCTTGTATACTGGTCATTATGAATGAATAACCAAATTCACAGAACGCTCAATTTCAAGACAAAATCTTATTACACCAAACCACAGATCCACAATTGGAAGCAAAATTTCAAAATTTTCACTTTGAAAAAGCAATAAGAATTAGCATCTAGATCGAAGTAAACAGAGAACATTTCCATGAACGAAATTGGAACATTTGGAGGAGATAAAGGAAATGATTGGAATGGTACCTCGGCTAGGGTTTGGATTTTGTCGGCTTGCGTTTCCGCCATTGATGAAAATCTGATATGCTTCAGCTGCCCTCGCGTTTTAAGATGTGAGGCCGCCAAGCAGGGAGAAGAGAGGAGAGAGAAGTGAAACGAAGCGTATGGATGGTTTGTATACCGTCTGGAAGCTGGAATTTTTAACTGAGTTACTGAGGTGGTAAAAGGTAAAAATTGATAACGATAAGTTGATGATTAGAGTGAGGGAGCGTAGAGTCAAACTGACAATCTTGGGCCTGTGAGTCCTAAAAAATGAGATGGGCCGTTGTCACTCATCTGTCATAAAACAAACTTACTGGGCACACCCCAAACCGCTATGAGTGAGAAGGATTTGCTCCATTCTTAGGGCTGGTTTGGTATTTGTGTGTTTTGAAAAAAAACTGCTGTGAGAATAAGCGGCTGTGAAATAAATCAGCAGAGTGTTTGGTAAAATTTTTTGTAAAAGTGCTTTTGGAAAAAAAAACAGTCTGATAATGGGTCTTTTCATTAAAGGAGCACTGTAGCTCTGTATTCTTTGAAGAAAAACCAGTTTTCCAAAGCTACAAATAGCAGCTTCAGCTTTTTCCTTTGATTTCAGCTTATTCTCACAGCAACTTCCAAAATAAGCCCTTTTTTCAGTTTACCAAACACCTAAAACCCTCACAGCTTTTTTTCATGGGTGCTTTTTTTTTAAGCACCTCACTCCCAAACCACTCCTTAATCTCTCTCACCTTTCATTTTTATTTGAACAATTATGATTAAATCATGTCAATATTTTATATTGATTGTTTATAGAAATAAAGAGACAAAAAAAACAAAGTGAGAAGATAAGAGAGAAGAAAATGTGAATAAAAGAATCCGTGGGAGCTTAATAGGAAAGGCAGCAGGCTTATACCTAAAATAAGACATCAAAACGCAGGACAAAAAAAGAGAGAGAAATCAAAAGCCAAAACAAAAGAGATGAAAAGGGTGGAAGCAAATACAGACTGAAGATAAGACTGACAATCGATTAAAGGTAGAATCAAATGGCAACTGCTCATAGCAGGTTTTTTTTTATTTTTTTTGTTGGTAAAAGTTGGGTATTGTATTAATCCGATAGTAGGTTATATGTCAAGTCAAATGAAGGCAAAATAACTCAAATATATTGGGGAAAACAGATAAACAAAGGCCTAACCCAATTAAATAAGGAAAAATTAGTATCCGGTTCTTAGTTTTTACTGTTCATTGACTAAGACCTTATTAATTTTCAAATTTTGATTCAAGTCCCTAACATTAATGTGATAATGAATTTACATGTTTATTATATAATTTTTCAATATAAAAATTAGTAATTAATTTAGGGTTTAATACTCACACCTCTATTAAACTTCTAATTAATTTTCAATTCAAACATTTCCAAAATAATAAAAAATTAAATTAAATTAAGTTTGTACCTATTAGTTTTTTATATATATAAAAAGATTCTCAATTTTTTAATCTTAAATGCACCCATTCATATAATTTTTCAATTTTTTTAACCTTAAATGTACCCATTCTCAAATACATCAATTTGTTATATGTAAAATGTACCCTTTTTTTAATATAAAATCCTTTCAAATTTTTTAATCCATGTTTAAACTTATATGGGTACATTCTTTTTTGTTGATTTGAGAATGTATCCATGTTTTGGGTACAATAACTTTTTTTTTGTTAATTTTGGTTAATGTACCCATACATATATATGTACACACACACACACAATATAATAGAGAGTATAATTTATATTTTATTATTTTTAATCCCATAAATTATGGGTTTTATTTAAAATCTCATTAATATAAACAATTACAAATTTCAATTTTTAATTTATAATTTAAAAAATATAGTAACTTACATTATTACATTAATGTCAGGTACCTCAATCAAAAACTAAAAACTAACAAGGTTTCAATAAAAGAATATTGATAGCTAGGGACCGCATCCAAAGTGTCCCATTAAATAAACTAAAACGGGAACTCAAATCCTTAATTTCCGATCGCATAAAGCAGTGTCTGCCACTGTCATTGCCACGAAAGTCTTGCCAGCAACTATTGAAGCAACAACACTAGAGAAAACGACCAAGTGATGAAAACAAATAAGACATTGCAGCACAAAAGTACCAAACCCGTAATAAGAAGCACACCACACCAGAATTATTCACCAAAGACGCAGAACCAAAAGATAGTCACCAAATCCAAATCTCATTCACGAATCCCAATAAATATATACAAACATAGTAACACATGGATAGAAGGTGAGGCTAAGGGGGTATGTAAAATACCCTTACTTTGGTCTAAGGTGCAGTACACTTGGCCTCGATGGTAATCCGGCAAGTCGTTTTGGAGGGGGACAGTGAGGGATGGAAATAAAGTTGGCAACCATATTTGGCCCGAAGTTTGCATATCAGAGCAAATGATGGTGGGGATGGCTAAGTAGCAATTTTTAATTAATTATTAAATGTTTTTTTAATAACTTTTCGTTGCTTTTCTTTCCAAAGCAATATTTAAATATTTTTACACCTTTTAGGTCATTTTCTTTCTTTAATAATGCAAAGAAAATAAATATGAACATTGTTGTAAATAGTGGGTATGTTTGCCCACATGTATATAGTATAGACTCACAAGCTAAATAGTAATTGACACACCCCGACCCAGAGGATCAAGGCGTGCTGGCCGTCACGTGAGCGTGACGTAACCAAAAGTACGACACAGAAGCAAGATATAACAGAATATGAAGGAATTCAAACCAATCTCTAGTAGAACCACCTACTAGAATAAAAGGATGAGTTATAAGGTAAACACATAAATTCAGAGCATATGTTTAAGTGCAGTCAAGTAGGACCAAAATAAAATACATCACCCGCAGGTGAGTCCTACATGCAGAACGTCTGTCAGAATGCCGAAAAAAGACCTCGAGAGCCACCAACCGCTAACTAGAACCTGGAGGGGTGCAAAACAAAGATGAGTGGGTCAGTAAAATCAAAGATTTTCCAAAACATTTCATTTAAAACATTTCTAACCCCTCACCGTAAAACCTGTATACTTTTCCAGAAAAATAGTATATAAACATATATACACACATATCATAAAAACTCAGCTCATATCCATCAACATAACATCTCAGAAATAATATGCCACGCCATGCCAAATATAGTCAGAAATGCATCAATATCAATCAGGTGAAATAATAAATCAACCGGAGACCCTACAATGGTCCTGTACGGCTGATTCTAAAGCTCAACATCCCACTCAGCCGGAGTCACCACAGTGACCTATACGGCCCTGCCAGAGTCACCAACTGTGACCTGTACGGCACTACACTACACATCACTCGGAACTACGTATAGTAGTCTGTACGATGAAAGGTGTATAAATACGCTCTAGTGCTTCTCTCATCAATCATCAGCGCGCATAACTAAGGTCACCCACTAGTCGGAATCACATCTAGTGATCTATACGACTAGCATGTCGGAACCCTCACATGGTCTGTATGTTGGAAATGTGCCCTAAAGCCAATCATGTGATGATACTTTACGGACATTTCACATGTTAAACTAATCTAGTTTTACATATAAAGGGCACAGATTATTGTTTGAGCCGTCTCATATAAATGTTATATGCTTAAACGATAAAGTCCAAGGAATATGTGATTGGGAGAATGCAATCTAATGAAGTTAGATTAATGAGACCATTCTTTCGTAGACACATCCTAAATGTTCCTGATCATAGGATTGCTAATTGGGCATTGACAGTCCGTTAAGATCAGTACGTACTGTGTCTTCTCTCAGGGAGAGTGACTAGTCTCGAGTCATTGGTGTGTGTGACATCAAGACAAGTACGTAGGTGCTCAATAGAGAATGAGTTCACTGAACGTGATCAACGAAGAGTTCTTATATTCCATGTCACATGAGAACTCATGGTTGGGATAATGCAAAGTAGTCCTTTGACCTGAGGCATCACAGTTGTCTTGTGGTTAAGTCCTTAATCTTTGATTATGTCTAATTCACCCCCTCAGGGTGTCACGACATCGTTGGGGTTAAGCCACTTAGTCATGGAGACAAGTGAATGCGCAACAAGGGATCTCTAACCTTCAAACAGTTGAGGGAGAATACTCTATGATATGATTTGGAATCTCTGGCCAGAGTATGAATGAGATTGTGGAATGTGTTCCAAATCACATTCAAGGAAATCATATAAGCAAACGATTCACATTGGATAGTAGACATGAGTAAATAAACTATCATACCAAACAATGTGGTCAAGAGTATTAGATTAGAGAAGGACCGTATTGCATTTGTAATCCCAAACTGAATAGGTTTTCTATCCTCTTCTGATTAGCTTGGGTAACCATGATATGCTGCTAGGTGTCACTCATGGTTTGTGGAAGCCCTAAACGTGTGTAATCACTAAAGGGAGAATTGAAAATAGTTTCAATTCACAATCGATGTAAAATGGTTTTAATCGCCCACTACCTCGCTAAAAGGAACCTAATGGATCGCACACCATAAAAGGTGGAGATTGAAGATTAAACGGAAATGAGTAAGAATGATTAAATGGTTTAATCATTTATTTATGGCAAGGATTAATTAATATGTTAATTAATCAAACGAATAAGTTCGTTAAAGACCTCGGGATAGTTTTGGACCTTAAGGCCCAATGGGCTTCGAAAGTCAAGCCCATTGACTTAAGTTGTATGACAACTTAATGAATAAAGATTCACAAAGGCCCAAAAGCCCAAAAATCCATAGGTAGGCCGGCCATGTTAGATGAATTAGGGTTATGGTTCTTTAGGTCACTTATTTGAAGGGACTATATAAAGGACTTTATAGCCAAATATTCATTAAAGTGATTAAGGGTTTATTTTGGGTGAAAATGGGTGAGAATTGTCTCTCCATTTTCTCTCTAAAGAGGCCAACACCTTGGAGGGTACATCTAGCAATCCTACTACTCCAAGGTCACTCATTTTCTTCTACAATCAAACCTTGGTGAAGAGACTTAGAGGTTCCCTATTTTGGGAACTTGGAGAAACCTATTTTTCCATCCAAATCCATGGATCTAAGAAGCAAGGAATGAAGGCCCTATCTCTTTGGGTGATTAGCCTTTGCTTATGCAAAGAGGAATCTACAAAG